TTTCCAGGCAATTGGGAATCTTCTTCCTTTGTGCCCCAAGATGTACATGTTGTTCAAGTTCTCTTTGTGCGTGGCATACATTTCTCTGGTTTATTTCACCTGCCATCATGTCATCCGTTGACATCTGAATGATCCTCCCACCCTAACTGCCAGCTCTAGATTCCACATATCTGATGGCCCTTTGAGCTCGTCTGCCTGAATGTCCCCCAGGCACCTTACTGTCCCACAACTGCCAGAGCATAGCAATGTATGCATACCTGCACAGAACTGCCCTTCTTGGGGCTCTCAGCACATCACACCTCTTCATCCTCTGTTCCCTCTCCCAGCAAATGCACTGGCCTTCCACCCACTTGCTGGAAGCGAAACCTCTGGAATCTTCTCTTTGTTCTTCACCATAATCACCATGTTTCCCCTTCCGTTTCACCTCCTGAAGAGTTCTTCACTTCTTAACCTGATTCCATTTCTTCCCACCTTCAGCTGCCATGGGTCCTGGAGTCTTTCACACCCATCTCACCCAGGCCCCTGTTCTAGCTGCATCTGATCTAATTTTCACACCAGCTGGAGGGATCACCTTCAAAGGCAAGCTGAGGATTGCTCTTCCCCAGTGAAGACTACGTCCACTCATTCTGGGAATAGCTCTTCAGCTCACCAAAACGGCCTGCGAGTTCCCCTCCAGGAATACCTAAGCAGGTTCCGTTATACCCTGTTGCAATGCTTGACCTCTCCATACCCCTAAACAGACAAAAAGCGACTAACAAACAAACAAACAAAACAAAACAAAACCTGCCACTCAAAATGCATAGTGCTATTGAGTAAATGACTTCTGAAACCCACATCCTTGTCCCATGAGTACAACTTGCATATTTGTTGGGTTATCACCCAGGTGTGAGCAGTTTCTGGCATGCAGCAGTTACAAGTATTTGCTGAATAAATAAGTCATAAAATGAGAATTATTTACTAAAGATTAAGCACCCCATCTTCTCTCCAACTTTAGAATGAGATTCATGGGAACAGGTCTTATAAAAATGATTGTTCTGGTTAACATTTGTAGAAAGTATCTTGTACCCAGTGTAGCTGATTCCTCACCTTGCAAGCACCAGGATCCCATATGGGTGCCAGTTGTGTCCTGGCTGCTCCATTTTCCATCCAGCTCCCTGGCTGTGGCCTGGGAAAGCAGTAGAGGATGGCCCAAAGCCTTGGGGCCCTGCACCCGCATAGGAGACCCAGAAGAAGCTCCTGGCTCCCGGCTTCAGACCAACTCAGCTCTGGCCTTTGTGGCCACTTGGGGAGTGAACCAGCAGATGGAAAACCTTTCTTCCTGTCTCTTCTTCTCTCTGTAAATCTGCCTTTCCAATAAAAATAAACAAATTTTTAAAAAAGAGAGAAAGTAGAGAAAGAGTTTTCTTAGTCCTTCAGGCAGAGATCCATGATATCTCAGTATTTTTGGACCTTCAGAAATCTTTAAGCAGTATGATGATCATACCGGGAGCCACCCGAATTAAATCAGTCTAGCTCTTGAGGAACTTAGTACATAAATTCAAAACTCTCCATGAAATCCAGTGAGAACCCAAAGATTTTAAGGCAACCTGAAACTACCAACTGCCCTGCCGCCAGTCTGCGGGGGGCAGTGACGTGGGTCAGACTGCGATTGTAGAGGCTGTGAATGCTGCCAGCTGCAGAGGGTTCTGGGTGCCTTAGATGATGCCAACTACACACGGGACCAAGAGGACATCATCTTGGGATGGACATCATCTTGGGACATCATCTGCTACATTCCTAGGCACATTCACAGGGAGTATAAGCAGAGCAGTCAGGACTCTTAACTGGCACACTGGCATGGAATGCTGGCATCCTAAGCTATGGGTTAATTCACTGTGCTACAATCTTGGCCTCTTCCAATTCTCAAAATAATACTGCAATATATCAGGAGAGTCTGGGTGAGCACTTTGATTTTCCCTTTTTGTGTTAATTTCCCATTTGTTTGAAAGGCAGAACCACATTCCCGCATGCACACACACACACATGCACACAGACACAGTACCCCATGTCCTGGTTTCAACAGGCACTAAGCCAATGACTGCATGGCCTCAAGGTTCTGGCTCTGGCTGGGAAGCGTCATTTCCTTGCATGATGTCTGTGTCCTAGGGAAACAGTGGCTTCCTGCTTCTGATACTTTGAGCTCCTTCATCATTCCCGTCTAAATGACTTTTTTGGATTCATTTTTTCTATAATCTATAGCTATCTGCTGTGTTTCCAATCTAACTCTCTGCTAACCTGCCTGGGAAAGCAGGAGAAGGATGCTCCAACTGCATGGGTCCCTGACACTCCTGTGGGAGACCACATGGGAGTTCTTGGCTTCTGGTTTTTGCCTGGCCACTTGGGGGTGGACCAGTGGGTGGAAGATCTCTTTCTGTCATTTCATCATTCAAATAAATAAATAAATAAATGCAAATTAAAGATAAAACCAGGAAATCAAAATTGTCTGCAGCTGTTTCTTCACGCGTGCTCCAGAACGAGCTCCACGCTCCAGTGTAGCTGTGCACTACACGCAGCCACCGTGTGCTTTCCCAGCCTCTTCCTCCCACACTGCAGTAGGCACAGTCTACAGGGGTGTCCTCCAATGGGCCCCAGAGTCCCCTCCTCAGACATGGCCTATGCCCCATCTGCAAAGCCATGCAGCTTCTCTCTCTCGCGCGTAGATCTATTTATTTTTATTGGAAATACAGATTAGATTTGCAGCTAGAAGGAGAGACAGGAAGAAAGATTTTCCATCTGCTGGTTCACTCCCCAAGTGGCCACAATGGCCAGAGCTGAGCAGATCTGAAATCAGGAGCCAGGAGCTTCTTCTGGGTCTCCTATGCGGGTGCAGGGCCCCAAGGCTTTGGGCCATCCTCTGCTGCTTTCCCAGGCCACAGCCAGGGAGCTGGATGGAAAATGGAGCAGCCAGGACACAACTGGCACCCATATGGGATCCTGGTGCTTGCAAGGTGAGGATTTAGCCAATTGAGCCATTGTGTTGGGTCCTAACTTCTCTTCTTTATGCCAAACTTCACTCTTCCGCCTAAGCCACACTCCGTTTTTCTCTTTGAGAAGGTTATCCATTGGCTGTCCACCTTCTCTCAGGCTTACCACTGACTCCAGGCTCAGCTCAGGTGGGGGAGCCGCTGCTTGGGAGCCGCCATGATGCTTCTGAGAGCAGCAGTAACCTCTGTCGTCCCACTGCTGCAGTGCCAGCTGCTCATTCCACTCATCACCCCTCCCACGCTGCCCGCCCCTTCACTCAGCTGTCATACCTGAGTGTACTCTGCCCAGTAAGAGCACGAATGCAGGAAGGCAGAGACAATAGTTTGCAGTTTAAATAACACCCGCCAAGCACACATTAAGTAAAAATAGTCACCGAACGAACACGAATGGTAACAGGATGTTCTCTACATGGCAAACACATCTCTGCAAAGACGGTAGTTATTATAGCATCAATTATGTCCTCTAAAAGACACAATGAAGTCTGAACGCCCCCTCCCCAGCATCTATGAATGGAAATGGGGTATCTGTAGATACATGCCCAGGTTTAGAGGCAGTCAAGGTGATGGTGCCCTTATAAGAAGAGGAAAATTGGGAAGCAGACACAGGAAAGGAGACCATAAGAGACGCAGTTGGGACTGGAGTGATGCTGTTGCAAATCAAGAAACACTCAGGCTCTTAGGAGCTGCGAGAGGCAGGGAAAAACCCTCCCTAGAGACTGAACAGGGGAAATGACCCTGCAGAGACCTTGGGTTAAGACTTTCAGTGTCTAGAAGAGGAGCAGGGAACTTTCATTTCTGCCAAGGGTAATTTGGATATTTATAACATCATTCATCGGCCATATGAAATTATCAACTTGCCCTGCTGAGATTTTGTTTTTAAAGATTTACTTATTTACTTATTGAAAGGCAAAGTAACAGAGAGGGAGTGGCAGAGACAGAAAGGTTTCCATGCCTTGGGCACTCCTTAATGATTGCAAAGGCCAGGACTGGGCCAGCCTGAGGATAGGAGCTTCATCTGTGTCTCCCACATGCGAGTAGGGGACCAAGCGTGCTTCTCTCCCAGGCACATTAGTAGGGGGCTGGCTCGGAAGTGGAGCAGCAGGACTCAAACTGGCATCCGTACGGAATACTAGCATTGAATTTGGTGGCTTAGCCCACTGGTTCATAGCACTGGTCCTCTGTTTAGAGGTTTTTTTTTTTTTTTTTTTTTTTTTTTAACTTTGAGTCCTGCTTGCTGTTGCCTTGTTAGGGGCAGAACAAATGATTCCACAGGTCTTATGTGGCCTGTAAGTCAGCTGTTCCCCACTCCTGCTCTAGAACTAAGAGACTGTATATTGCTGTGGTTTTCAGCTGCCCAGAGCATGGGACTTAGAGCAGGCTCCATTGTTTCCAAGCACATGGGTAAATCTTAGTAATGTGGTTCTTATGCCCTTGCTGGACCCAAGAAAGATACTGGATGTTCACAGTTCCCCAAGGTGAATGAACAGGCCATGGTGAACAGGCCTCCACTTCTGGGCCTGCTGAGTTGGAGTGCAGGGTGCTCATGTGCTGTGGGGGAGCCAGGCCCTTCCACCACAAGCATGGGCCCTTCTCAGTCCGCGCTGAAGGCCACAAAGACACCTGCCACGCTGTTTCCCAGCAAAGTGTCAACGTCAAACTTTACATCTTAACACTCTAGGACACGACCACTATTTTTCTATCTTTTTACTTCAATATCCCGTGCCAAGTTAACCCAAGTCAAGTTTCCATTAAATGATTTTTAAGAAGTTGAGGTGTGGTCTTCTGCACATATCAGGTGTTACCATTCTCGACATGATTCCATGTGCCTACTGTGCCCTCATGGTCTCCTCTTGAATTGTGACTTAGGATATGAGCCACCTCAGATGCCAAGAGTTGTCAGCTGTAAACAATAGGACAGGCTCTGCCCTCCCTCTAACACCTAGGCACCCTATCCAGGGGAGAAGGACCCAGACTTACAGTTTTGGTGGGAGCATAGTGTGTGGGTGAGGCCAGGGGAGGCCTGGCCTGACTCTGGAAGGACAGGCAGAACCTCTGGCCAGTGTCTGGAGGTGGGGATGAGGCGTAGATACGGTTCTCCAATCGCTCAGGCTCTTGCTTGTAGGACTCGAGGGGAAACGTGAGCTGCTTGGTCACTTGGGTAGGTGTTGACGGAGAGGAGGAGAGGCTGGAGGCTGCAGGGAGAGACAACACACAGTGCTGTTGAAAGTCCAGCCTCGGGGAGAGGAGGAAATCAACAAATCCTAAAACACCTCAAATGGATGTTGTGGCACCGTGGGTGAAGCTGCATCCCACACTAGAGGGCCTGGGAACCAATTTGACCTCTGCTTGTGGGTCACTTTTGGCTAATGCACTGGGATACAGCCAATGACAGCCACAGTGCTTGGGTCCCTGCCACCCTTGAGGAGGTCCTGACGGGGGTGCCCCTGGCTCCTGGTCTAGCCCTTGTTGCTGTGGCCATCTGCAAAGTGGACTGCCAGGCTCTGTCACTCTATCCTTCTAATACACCCATAACTTTGAAAAACAGCCCGTGCCACCCTCCCCCACATCCTAACGACCCATGGGAGCACTTTGGGTGACTCTACTTCTGCGTCACTGGGGTCTTCCCGTGCAGCAGGAAGGACAAGCTCCAACGCATCCTCAGTTGCGACGATGGAGCACACAGATTCCCATCCATCAATCTTTTCCATCCCAGGCCCAGCTTCGCCATTCAGTCTCCAACCATACCCAGGCAGACACCTTCAAAATCCTAGAGGTGCACGCACCTCTGCAAAGGTGTTTTTGACAGATACCCAGCGGAAGTGCAAATGCGTGTGTCCCTGAGCCCACTGTTTCTCTGGGAATTCCTCCCATAGATTTATGTATGCCATTGCCGAGTACACGGCGTTATTTGTTACCGTGTTCCCTTTAAAAGGCAGAGCCCGGAGGCACAGACACCCACCAGGAGGCAGAGGCTAAATAAATCAGCTTGGCACACCCGCACAGTCAGCAGGATACGCCACAAGCCTCATTCTGTTCATCTCCAACACGAAGTGCTGCATGATAAAAGCAAACTGCGGAGCCATCTGTGTCGGCTGAGGCCCTTTGTGGCTTTGAAAAAGGAGAGAGAGATTTTTCATGGTGTGTCTCCACTCAAGTCAGCCTGCATACGCTCAGAGCTTTTGCAGGGCCCGGAACCGCTGGCAGGCAAGGCTGCTCTGTTGTTTTATTTCACACACCATAATGTATTCACCCATCAGGTGCTCCAGACTTGGGAGGCTTGCAAGTGCTGGATTTAAGCCCTGGTCACACCCTAAGCCCCACTCTGTGTTTTTGGGGTGTGTGTGAGCTCACTGCTGTCTGCCCAGCGCTCCCTGTTTCTAGATTGTGGCCTCACTCTGCGAGAAGCTACCCCACTTGGCACAGGTAGAGCTGGCTGTTGTGTAAGGGCCTTCGCAGTCAGCATAAACGTCTTGCTTGTTTTCTGGGTGCAGAACGTTTGTCTTTCAAGTGTCTGTAATTTAAAGAGACATGACTAAGCAGCTTGCTCCTGAGAGGTCTCTTTGAAGCACAGACCTCAGTGCCCGACTCTCCCACGGCCCTTACTCTTGAATGAGCTGACATGTTGCTAACCTAAAGCCCTTGGAGGGCCAGAGAGAAGGCTGGGTGCAGAAGCTGTGCTGCCATAGGTAGAACCTGGCACAGGTACCTTGGACAGGGAATAGGTAAAGTGGAATTTTCACCTGGTAGGGGGAAGCATGTTTCTGGTGGGACTAATTCCACAACACTCTCATTGAAGTTCAAAAGCTGGGGCTGGAGTTGTGGTGTGGCGGGTCAAGCAGCTGCCTGTGACAGAGGTATCCCATATGAACACTCATTTGAGTTCCCACTGCTCTAATCCAGCTCCCTACTGCTAATGACCTGGGAAAAGCAGCACAATTTGGGCCCTCAAGTACCTGGGCCCCTGCACCCACGCGGGACACCCAGACGAAGCTCCTGGCTCCTGCCTTTGCCCTAGCCCAGCCCCAGCCATTGAGGCCATTTGGGCAGTGAACCAGTGGATACAAGATCTCACTTTATCTCTCTCTGTTACTATGACTTAAAATACACATATAAATCTATTATGTTTTGAATGTTTCAATCTTACTTCCTGGTCTCTCTGCCCCATACCCTGCTTCTTTCTCAGGTTGGTGACTCTTGGGGCAGGGGTGAGAGGGTGAGGGTCAGGATGACACTCAGAGAAGGAAGGAGGCGGGGACAGGTTCTCCCAGGTGTGCCTGAGGAACTGATGTGCAATTTGGGAGAATAGGAAAACAGCCTACCTGGAAGCCCCAAATGTGCCTCTGTTCCTGGGAACCAGAGCTAGCTTTAGCAGGAGTAGTACACCCCCATTTTCACACGGAGCCTTACTGTGCCCTCACAGCCACCCCGATGTGGCCTTATCGCCCAAGTGAAGAATCCGAAGAGCAGAGGAAGCTACAGAACTTACACACAGTCACACCTGAGCGCCTCGGACTCGGACTCCTAGTCTTTTGGTGATGATTAAATAGGATTATCCTCAAGAGAGAAAATACAATGTTTAAAACCCCATTTTCAGCTAGGTGGATTACTCTTCCAGAAATCAGGGTTTCACAAGCTGACTGGAGGGAGTGTGTTTAGGGCACCAGACACCCAGGAGGTGAAGTAAGAGGAGCAGAAAGGGGACTGTGGAATTGCCACCCTGACTGCTGCCCCTGGTGGATACCCTGGGACCTTCTCCAAAGGCACGTCTCTTCTGAGTTAGCCAGAGAGATTAGACAATGGTCCACTGAGCAGGGGACTCGAACCTGCCTCAGGAAGACAAAGGAGGGACAGTGGAAACGCTATTGCTGAACCTCTCCATGTTTTACAGACGGAAAGAGGTGACACTGACACACTGCCCCACGACTTCTGACTACACCACTGGATTTCTTAGTCTCAGGTTAAATTGCTGTGCCCAGGGCACCACCTGTCCATTTCGCCAATCAGCAGCACTTACGCAGCCGCTGGGGTCGAGCGGTGCAGGTGCTTCAAGGTACTTAAAGGTGCAGATCAAGCACATGAGGTCTCCACTTTCAGTCGGCTGGGGAAGATGGGACAAGAACAGCAACCTGGGTGGTGTGCGGTGCAGTGGGTGACATGCTGCCTCTCCTGGACTGAATTGTGTGGGCTTGAGCGCTGCCTCCTGTTCTGGGCCCACCTTAACTGCAGAAGTGCACCTTAGCAAGCAGCGGGTGATGTCTCAAGTCACTGGGTCCTCACCACCACAGGGAAACCTGGTTCGTGGACTTGGCCTGGCCCAGCCCAGCTGTTGTGGGCATCTGGGGGAGTGAGCCTACAGATGGGAATAGATCTTTATGTCTGTCTCACTCCCTTCCAAATCAATGAAGACACATTTTTATAATTTCAGAATTATTTATAAAACAAAAACCAAAAAGCACATCCAACAATCCCATGCCATAAGCCTTGACTGTCATTCAGTGTGCACCACGCCAAAGGCAAGAGTCTCCAAGAGGAGAGAGCCTGAGGCTACAGGGCTGGGTCAGCATCCTGGAAACACCCCAAACCTGGGAAAAATCCACAAACCTGGGGAAAAAAAAATGGGGATCTGCCCCCAATCAAGCAAATTTCTTAACGGCCCAGAAGAGACTGGGGTGTTGGAACAGTAACCCAAGAAGGCTCCGGCTGGCCGGCTGGCCAAGGGACAGACAGGTTCTCACATCCGTCTCTCCTGGGAAGGCCTCCCTCCCTTCCCTTCCCCTGCTTCTTAAGGACTTTGTTGAGGGTGCTGTCAGCCTCTGTGGGGAACAATGCCTTTGATTCTCCTGGGGCCGAAGCCAGGCCTAGTGAACAGGCCCAGTGAGTGAACACAAACCGCTCCTGGCAGCTGCACAGAATACCACGCAAGTGGTTCCAGACACCAGGGAGCCAGGAGCTGGTGACTTCACAGGGCCTGGCAGGCTGGACAGGCGGGAGCTATGGCTGGAGAGAAGGAGGGGCGGTGGGGGTGGGGGTTGGGAGAGGAGAACAGAGATGCCGCTGGCAGGAAGTGGGCATGAGCCTGCAGAAAGTCCCAGCCTTGGTGAAAAGAAACTGGGTAGACCAGGTGACTGCACAGTAGCTGCCTCCCCTTGAGACACCTACTCGGAGTGAACCACAATCACTGGGCAGCATTGGCCTTTTCCAAGCACTGACTTGGGAATGACGAGGAAGAAGGAATAATTTTATTTTGATGATTTGTTCCCAAAAGGCTGGCAGTGGATTTAGTCTGGATGGTGGATTTGTTTATGTGCGATTTTCAAACTGCTAACCACTCATCCCAGAGATGAGGGGTTGGTGGTGTTCCCGACTTTGGAGAGGTGTCAGCGAGGATCCCAAGGGAGACAGTGGCACGGAGAAGGTGCCACATTTAAGTGTCACAGCAGTGCTTTCCACAACTGAGGAACTGGACCCAGGGAGGAATATGAACCAGGCACAAATGGTGCCGAGTAAAGTGGGCATCTTGTGAGAGAGGCAATGGCAGAGCCAGCGCAGACTGTATGTCTGCCAAGGTCTTTCTCAAGCACAACACGCACTGCTTTAATCTCCCAGCCCCTGGGCTCTCGTGCCATGCACTACCTTCTCATTCCTTCTGTTTCTGTCTTTGCTAACTCAGGGTCCCAGAAACTAGCCCTTGGGGGGTGCGTCCCTTGCCTGTTGGCATGGCCTTGGGCAATGGAGGTCACTGGTAAGAACTGGGAGTCTGGAGAAGAGAGGCCTTGCCCACCCACCTCTGCCCCCACTTTGCCCCCCCAGCCTTTGGCTTCTAACAACATCTCCTTCCTCTGGGGCCCTTCCAGTCTGGGCAGAGATGGGCTCCTGTGTGGCCTGTGCATGGGGTTAAGCCGTACCATTCTTTTCCTACTGGCTCCCAAAATCCTGCCAGAGCTCTGTGAAGCCGTTTGGGAGCCCTTCCACTGCAAGTGTACCCCTGCTTTCCACTCCGAGTGATAGAGCTTCCAGCCTCCACTCCCAAGCCACGGCAAGGCAGCTCGGGGGCAGCTGCAAGCACCAGGCCTGACATACTCAACTATCAGGAGCTGCCATCAGCAGTAGACAAGACTAAAGGAGACAGATCCCTTTGAGCACAAACTTGGCTCTGTCTCTGGCTGGCGGCCTTTCCTGCTTCAGAAGCAGG